ATTTTTATTGGGTTACTATACATTTTTTTGGTGGGTTTTGAATTTCCCTTCATTTTCGAATATGGGTTTGACTCTGTTTCTCAAGAGGGATTTTCTCCATTCTCATTACCCGCAAGATTGACCAACTCCATGTTAGAGAGCGAGGGAAAATTGGATGAAAAAGATGCCCGCAATCGCCCGCTTGATGTTCAATATCAATCTAAACCCGAAAGAACTAAAAAGTTGGTTAAATCCCTGGTGTCGAGCTTGAATTTGAGTGCAGGGACTGAATGGTCAAGCTCGGAAAATGGGATTTTGAAGTCTGCTAGAGACGCTGTTAAAATTGGGGAAAAACTTTGGCAAGCGCTCGAATTGATAGGGAAAAATAGAGGCAGCAGTAGCAATAATACAAGTGGTAGTAATAATAGTAGTAAAAGTGAGGAGTGCCCACAATATATGTCTATATCTGCCGATGTTTTCTCGAAGAATGGGAGAGTGATGGTTTTGACGTGTGGGTTGACATTGGGGTCGCATATTACGGTGGTCGGAAAGCCGAGGGTGGCACATATGGAGACTGACCCGAAGATTTCTCTGTTGAAGGAGGGGCAATATGTGATGGTTTCACAGTTTATGATGGAGTTGCAGGGGTTGAAAGTGGTGGACGGGGAGGACCCACCAAGGATTCTGCATTTTAATCCGCGGTTAAAGGGTGATTGGAGTGGGAAACCTGTTATTGAGCAGAACACTTGTTATAGGATGCAGTGGGGGACAGCACAGCGGTGCGAGGGATGGAAGTCCCGGGATGATGAGGAGTCTGGTGAGTAGTAAGAACCACTCTACGGATTATACATGTTGCTTGATTTCAATATATTAATATGGTAACAGGGGTTGTATTGAAATGGGATGATTGTTATGCTTTATAATCTTCGCGAAAATTTCTTAAAAAGATACTGGAAATACTATAACAACTACTCCGATGATTGGTGCAAATGATTGTTGTACTTAGTTCGCCTAAGTTACTTGCCTATATTGTCCATATATAGGTTTGATAAGGATTTCTTTGCTTCTTTCAGTTTATATCTATGTACATGAGGAAATTATTCACCTAGGTTCAAGTTACTAGAGTGAAAGATGTGTTTTATGGGAGAGAATTGACGGGGTTCTTAGTGATCCAGCATCCAATGAAAAGAAGTGTTTTTCCCCCTTCATATGAAATCTTGGTCTGCGAAAGAAAAGAGTGAGAAGAGTCTTGTCCATGTGATCGACTGTTAGTCTGCTTTGTACCAATTTACTATTTTCTTACTAACCAGTTGTATTGAGCTTAAGCAGTTTATGTGACTTAGCATGTACTTTACTGAACTCTTGATATTTTATTGAGGCACTGTACATCATAGATAATGCTTTGAATCATCTGCAGTTGATGGCTTGCCAAAATGTGAAAAGTGGAGTAAAGATGATAATGATGGCTCGGAAAAATCAAAAGCCATATGGTGGTTAAATCGATTAATAGGGCGAACAAAGCAGGTTTCTGTTGATTGGCCATTTCCATTCGCAGAAGACAAGTTATTTGTCCTTACACTTAGTGCTGGCTTGGAGGGTTACCATGTCCAGGTTGATGGGAGGCACGTCACCTCGTTTCCATATCGCATTGTGAGTAATATAACACAGTCTCGATATATGATATGTTGGACTTTGCTTAAGAGTTTACTTAATATTATTTAGGGATTTGCGCTTGAGGATGCCACTGGATTATATTTGAATGGGGACATTGACGTCCATTCTATTTTTGCCGCTTCCTTGCCCGCCTCACATCCCAGTTTTGCTCCTCAGAGACATCTTGACGTGGATAACAGATGGAAGGCTCCACCTATTCCAGATGGGCCTGTTGAACTGTTTGTTGGTATTCTTTCAGCAGGTAACCACTTTGCTGAAAGAATGGCCGTGAGGAAGTCTTGGATGCAGCATAGGCTAATCAAATCTTCCAATGTTGTTGCTCGTTTCTTTGTAGCACTGGTTAGTGAACTAATTGGCTGGATATTAAAATGCAATATTGTTTCTACATGAATTCTTGATTTGAAGACTGTTGAAATAATTTCTGATACTAATCTTTCAACAGCATGCAAGAAAAGAAGTGAACGTGGAATTAAAAAACGAAGCTGAGTTCTTTGGTGACATTGTCATAGTTCCATACATGGACAACTACGACCTCGTCATCTTGAAAACTGTTGCCATCTGTGAATATGGGGTGAGTAGTGGATTAATTGGGAAGTGAGGATTGAGATGTATCTGGATTGATTAGGTTTGGTGCCTTGCAGGTTAAAGCAGCGTCTTCCAAGTATATTATGAAGGGTGATGATGACACATTTGCAAGAGTGGATGCAGTTGTTGAGGAAGCAAGGAAAATACCTGAGAACAAGAGCTTGTATATTGGAAATATAAATTACTATCATAAGCCCCTACGCAGTGGTAAATGGGCAGTGTCATATGAGGTACTGTTTTAACCTTTTACATTTTATTCGTAGTTGATTTTTTCTTTTTTCTTTTTTTCCCTGTCCTTCTAATATTATACTATTATCCTCCTAATGTCCCTTACGTTCATGTAATTTAACTTTCAGTCGTTAGCACAGTAGCACTATAATGTGCTCAAGTCCATTTGGTGATGAAGAGGATGATAATTAGTTTTTCCATTTAGTTTACTAATGGCGACAGCTTGGATATTTGGTTTTTTATTTTTACAGTTTCCATTATGTTAAAATCTGCTTAGTCTTCTCAAAATAGACTCATGCAGAACTACTAGAAAAATTGCTTGTACATGCAAAACTAGTGGAAAAATTGCTTTCCATAATTTGATAATGAGGGGAATTTCAGATTCCTACTACAATGAAACTACAAATTCTACTTTTCCATGCCATTATTAGCCCTCTACATCCAATGCGGTTGCTTTTTCATTGGACAATGAGAAATTTACTAGGATCCTGAACTGTCTTCTAGATGCTATTGAAAACTAGAAATATATGACTTCTATCCTTTGAGGAGCATAAGTATTTTTTTTACTTTTTTGGCAAGTCGGATCATTAATTGTTATCTGAAGTTGCAGAAATTCTTCAGTTCCCAACGCTCAATATCTTATCGATTTCAAGTAGTTATAACAAACTCTCCCATGATCTTAGTGAAATACATATTGAACGTTGGATTGACTTAAATTAAAGGTCGCGATTATTTGTCAAATAAGTGTGTCAAATTTATGAATAGGAGGAATGGTCCCGACATATATATGTGTGTGTGTGTCTCATTTGATATTTATCAATTTGGTCTTGCAAGATCTGCACATTAAAACTTATACTTCAAATTGCTATACATGGCAATATTGTTGTGTTGCCTTTTCTAAATGGTTCAGGAATGGCCAGAGGAAAATTATCCACCCTATGCTAATGGGCCGGGCTACATTATCTCATCAGACATTGCAAGATTTATAGTTTCAGAGTTTGAGAAACGTAAATTAAGGGTAAATGCCACCGACTTTTCGAAATACATTTACAGATGTGCATAATATTACCTAATAGTTGAAGGTTGTAACTGTTTCTGCAAGCAATACCAACTGATTCCTTGATGTGCAGTTGTTTAAAATGGAGGACGTGAGCATGGGAATGTGGGTGGAGAAATTTAATAGCTCGAGACCTGTAGAGTACGTACATAGCTTGAAGTTCTGCCAGTTTGGGTGCCTACAAGATTACATTACGGCTCACTACCAGTCTCCGAGGCAGATGATCTGTATGTGGAACAAATTGCAACAGCTGGGCTGGCCTCTATGCTGCGACATGAGATGATCCTTGAGACTCCGTCGTAATGTAAAGATCATAGGATCCATGAAACCGAGACGAACAAATTTTGCATTGACCAAATGGTACGTTGTAGATCTTATGAATTGTATATATGCATCTGGATCTGTATAGGCTCCACAAGATTCGGTTTTCTCTTTGAAAGTCTCAGCTTGTTTCATCTGACCGATGGAAAAGATGTAGGGGTAAATAGAATCATAGCAGCAGGTGAAAACGAGTATAAAATTACAGATATTTCTGTTTAGTTTTTGTCTCTTGTTAACCTTCATCTGTACCATAAAATTATTCCCCCCATAAGAGAATTGGAAATTTCAGGCGTTTTCTTATCGAGGTCTGCCTTTAAATGTATGTGTAGTTACTTTGTGTTGGCAGCATCAGCAAACTCGACGATGCCTATGTTATTGAAAGCTCCACTTTTAATACTAATTACAGAGTATAAGACCTACCTTTATTAAAATTCTAAAGCTGATCCACCCGTTTGAGGAAGCAAAGTCAGAGTATGATTAAATACGGATGGGAATTATAAGCATGAACAGGAAATGCAGAAAGGAATTAAAACTGGGTAACATTTCTTTGGTTTTGGGTACGAGTACCCTTTTGTTTAATATGCCATTCGAGTTGATTATGACATGTTTGAAGATTCTCCATCAAAGTATGATCACAAAGATTTTGTTCCAAAGCCCGAAAAAGGGCACTGGAAGTTCGTCGCATTTTGACATCTAATCCCAAGGTAATCAGGATGCTGATCCAAGAAATTTCTTAAACTCTATCTAGCAGACCAGCAATTTTTTAGCTTGCTGGACCATTGTTTTCTACTTACAGAATAGAAAAGGTACAGCCAGGGCCTACAGCATCTAAGAGAAATCTTTATCAGTTTAATGGGTTATGATACAGAGACTGGATAAGAAATAGTATGAACTCCCAACAAATTTCCCATCCATGTCTCGTTTTCAGTTACATGTAGATGCACTAAAAAATCAACTAAATCTATATAAATTTCTCAGCGTCACACGGCTCAGCAGGAAAACAGTAATTAACTGTGGATGTTGCTTAAATTTCTCGAAGGTAGAACTTTCCAATTGCTGTTTCCTTAGTGGAGTGGATTTATCACAAAAATTAGAAGATTTGTATAACCTACATTCCTTGCTTATGTTGAGGGAGGGGGGGGGGGGTTGAGAGACTTTAGGAGTCGTCTGTATTTTCATCCTTCATGGAGTTTGGGCCATCATCATAGCTAAAACCCGGAGCAAGTTCATTTAGATCCAGAAGACGCCTTTCCCTTGCACCTTCAACTTCGTTTTGACCAGCGCTATCTGATTTCTCTGGTGGATGTGTTTCCTCTTTATTGCCCACCTCAGGATGCTCTTCAATAGGCTGATTGATATGCATCTCCTGCTTATCATTCATTTCATCAGAATCTTGACTTCCCATTGAAAACTCTGCATTATCCCTTTCATTAGAGTGCTCATCTAAAGCAGTTGACTTCTCAGGTTTCATTGATTCGGTTTCCGATTCGGACATCTCATACTGCTTATAATTGATATGATTTCTGGTTGCTCGATTACTGCGTCTAAGACCTGACTGGGGCTCACCAACTGACCTCAATTTAGTTTCCCTCCTAGTACGGCTTGGCAATGTATTGTATCTGCGGGGACCATCACTCTCCTCACTCGTACTTAACGTATCTTCTTCTTCTTCTTCCTCCTCCTCTTCAGGATTTTCTTTGTCCCAGTGATACTCTTCGTCTCCTTCTGAGCTACTCGACATTTTCCTCCCCTTCTTTCTTCCCCTTAGATATCCTTCATCATACACAACTTCACCAACTACATCGTCATCATCAGTGTCAAAGTCAGCCTTGTTATACGAGACGGCTTCCACGAACTCTTCTGTGGAATACCGCTGTGGCCTCTGCCTTTGACGATTGCTACAATTCATGAAAAATCTGTTGGTTATGGATCAATGAAGGAGAATAAAAAAATATTATTGAGAGACGAATGGAGTACCCCCGTTCCAGTTTCAAAGCTTGGTGATCATCAGAAAATTCATCATCAGGTGATTTTGGAGACAGTGCACTGAACTCGTGCTGAGAATATTGTGGAGGACCATCCAATCTTCCATTTGTTGAAACTTTGTTTTCCACAAGAGAATCTCCCCTAAGAATATGTTTTGGGGAAGATTCTTTCTTCCTGATGTGAGAGCTAACGAATAGATATGTAAGAACAAAACCTATAGCTGTCAGCACGCACGCACGCACGCATGGAAAAAAGGATAAAATGGAGAAAGGGAGATTGTACTGCAAAGGCGAGATTTTGAGAGAGAGGCAAAGAACTTGTTCGTGAATAAATGTCTATATGAAAGTGTCAAAGAATATCTAGGTGTAAGACTCGTACTTGGTGACTTCGATGGCCTCATTAATAGATCGATCATAATCATCTGCAAAATCCTCATCATAACATGATAATCAGATATCGAATACTTCACCTTAAATGGAAACAAATTAGAGCGATTGATTAACTCGTGCAAGGATCAATCAGAAAATGCCCAATACATCTATAGAACCATTTTATTTGAAGCTAAACAACTTTTGCAGGAGAAAAAATATTATAACTAGGAGTTGTGGGGAGTCCAAACGGATTTCTTGTTTGATCATTCGCCTTGCATTGTGTCACTTTTCCAACAAGACGTGGTCAAAGGCAAGCACTTCAAATTTTCAAACATGTGGGCAGATCACTCAGAATTTAAAAATCAGGTTGCTACTAGCTGGGATCAGCAGGTTCATGGCACTACACAGTACATTCTTTGAAAGAAACTTCAAAGGTTGAAGGGAGTTTTGAAGGAGCTCAATCCAAGGGACTGCGCACATATTACGGCTAGGGCTGAGAAGGTGAAAACTGACCTTAAGGCTGCCTAATTGGAGCTGCAAGAGCAGCCTTATAATGTTGAATTGCAAAGTATGGTTTCAAAGTTGAGGAAAAAAACCGTGAATATTTGCAAAGCGGAAGGAAGATTCTACTACCAACAAGAAGCTAAATGTGAGGACTGATAAATGTACAAAATTTTTCCACTCCATGGTGAAGAGACACGAAACGGAATTACATTGGGCTGTAATTAAGGAGGACGGACAACCCACAAATTCACAAGAACAAGTAGCTAAGGAATTTGTGTGAACGGATATTGCTTGTGAACTCATTGAACCTAACGTATTGGGAGAGGGGCTGCTACTTTCTTTGGATCACGCAAATGCTCTTAGCATGGACATTACCAACACGAAATTAAGGCGGCTTTATTTGATATTGGAGAGGAAGAAGGAACACCCATATCTCCACACTGCACTACTAAACCAAAGGGATGCAAATTTCATATCCAAATTACTTGGATGCAAATTTCAAATTCCAACTTGACAAATACCAAATGAATTGGATGCAAATTTCAAATTTCGGATACACCGAACCAACACTAAATCAAATTCCAGATGAACTTGACATACACTAAACCAAATTTCAAATAAGCTAGACCAAACTCTAGATAAACTGTACATATACTAAATCAAATTCCAAATGAACTGGACATATACTAAATCAAAGGGATACTCCGAAAAGAAAATAGAAAAACAACATTGGTAGCCCGACGAGCGGCTCAATGCCGCTCGTCGGAAACGAAATTCAAAGATTAATTTGTTTAGAATCGAAACTGCTCTGATACCATGTAAAGAATATTATGAATTATATATAATAAACTTGCTTCTATTACAAAGTAAAAGACCCTATTTATAGGGCTATAAATAACTCTAAAAAGAAAGATTGTATAATAATTATACGATTAACTATTAAGGAAAATAATCCTACACTATTGAAAAAATATCATAGATATTATTCTTTCCATATATTGAACAATTCTTTAGCTAGGCGCCCAGTCAAGGCTACTGACCAAGGATAAATTACAACACTTAGAAATGGACGGACTTGTTTTTCGTGGACCAAGAACTGAGTCCGTCAAGCACCCGTTCTTCTCTTATCAATTCAGCACGACGACGTGGGGGCAGATCTGACTGTGGCAGGGATTTCGACGGTCAATGTTTACTTTAGCTAGAGCAATGAAGTTGATTAAAAAGAAGGCCCGTCTCACATCTTGGAAAAGCAACGCCAAGAAGATTGTTCTTGCTAGTACCGTCTACTACATTTGGATGGCAAGAAATAAGAAGATTTTTGAAGATCTTAGACCACATGTCGATAGCACAGTGAGACAAATTAAAACACATGTATACAGAGTCATGTTTTCTTTGTATCTTCATGTTTTAATCCATTCGGAGTTTTTAACGTTGGGTCTTTAGATCTCATCGTTTGTACATCTTTTGATTTCGTTTTGCCCGAGTATGTCCGTAGTACTTGCACATAAGTTTTGATCAATATAATTTTATATTTACCGATATAAAGAAATATCTGATACGCTAAACTAAATATCTCAAATATTATCTACATCTGCGGGATGGTCTCTCTGTTACTTATCAGCCGCTAGCTTTCATTTTTCCATGGGATGGGGCCGACAAACGAATGATCAAATATATTAGAGGCTCAATCCCTAATCACTATCATTTTTAACAAGCTGCATAAAAATGGCACCTTGAAAACTAGTTTAAGCCCTACAGTTTCAGATTTACAAAAGATGCTAATGAAAGAAGAAGCAAATAGTAATACGTTATAGAGGAAAGCTTTCAAATTTAGTGGAGCTAGTACCACTTACATATAGATGGAGACAATTATGTAAAGAGATAAATACAATACTCTTAGTCTCTTACCAAAAGTATAAGTGACGGGCTTTCTATCACGGAGAGAGCGTCCAGCAGCAAAACCATTCATGTTTATCATAATACCCAGCATAAGAGCTTGCCTGTGTTGTTTCTTCAACAGATTCTCTTTCCTCTGTGCAATGAGCACATATTAGTGCGGATAAGACCAAAGAGATAATAACTCTTCCAATCAAAGGAGAATGATCAGACTGGATTGGAGGGGTTTCAATTTTGTCATATGATACGTATAACATCCAAAAGATCAAAGCAATGAAAAAAATCATCTTCCAATCAAAGATATAAGAGATCACCTTATGGACCTTCAGTATTTCAGGAAGCATGTCATTTTTCAATTTCTTCCCAACTGAAATCTCTGTTCTATTTTTGCTTGAAAAGAGCAAAATAGGTGTAAAATTCAGAAGGACGGACATGGAACGTCAAAAGAAAATGCGAACTCCTAGTCCCAGCTTGGCTGTAAGCATGTAAAGCGTTCTAAGACCATCAAGTGTAAGGAACAAGTCTCATAGAATGAGATGCACCTCACTGAAAAGGCACAATTCATGCACATTATATACCTATACCAAAAAAAATAATAATAATAACATTCTGAAGGCTCAATGCACATTTTTCCGCTTCCTCCCCCACCTCACCCTCATCCTCCACTTTCACCTCCTCTTCCTCCTTGAGCAGCTTGGCTGACAACCTATCCTTCCTCTCAACCTTTATCCGCCTCCTCTCCGGCTCAGCCAAAGCAGCCTCCGTAGCAGCTTGCAACCTTGCGGCCGTCCGCTGTGTGCATGCCCTTGACGGCCTCTACCTCCGACCCACTACATCATTACTCCAACTGTTATTATCACTAGTACAACTCTGGACATTATTTTCCATAAAATTCTGGTTATTTCCGACATAGGCTCCGTTATTTTGGGGGCTTTTCGGAGCGTGGATCGGGGAGGAAGGTTGGGACATGGTAGAAGGATCGGTCCCGCCCGGTTCTTGGGAGGAGTGGCAAGTAAATTCACGAGATTTCATTGCAACAACTAGATTCTGTCAAGGTCTTACGTTGAACAAATAGATTCTGTCAAGATCTCCAATTCTAACTTTTTCGTGACATTTTATTATTAGCCTTCTATTATTTAGCACGTGTTCCTCGACGACAATTTCTATCCTATTATATGTGCATTGAAGTGAGAAATAAATATTATGTCAACCTTCAGATTATTTTTCTTATTTTAAAATACAGGTTTTTTTACATCTTCCTACAGATATTTTTGAATAAAAACCGTCATTAGAAACAAGATGTAGGAACTAATAAAAGATGTTAATCGGGATCAATGCGATGATACAACCATAGCATATATGATGAGGTTATAATCTGAGAATTCAAAGCAACAAACTTGTCATAAGTTTATGTATACAACTGAATAATTGGCAGCAGAAGATACAAATACCAACACATCCTACGCATGTCCTTCAAAATAGACTCTTGGCACACATATCGTTTAAGAACTACACGAGCAAAATCCATTCTCCCGATATTTACACGGACGGGAAATATTTGTTGAGATTGAACGGAAGAGAATAGAATTCCTCACTCCTCGAGTCAGTCTTGAAAGAACGAAATTTGTCCCACCAATGTTTACCTCGGTCTTTCCTTATCTGTGAATCCTTGTGCAGGGTATTGTCCAGAAAGTATGCCACTATACCAGCCACAAAAGCTTCAGACGAGAAAGGGACATTGACTATATCGTTGAACTGTCCAAGAAAATGCATGACATTTTCGTTAGTTAAACCATAAAGAAATCGAAGAGATTCAGGAGATGGTCAAATTTTTGCATACCCATCTCCCCGATGTGTGGACAGGACCAAAGCCTTGAATAGCAGTGTGCTCGTTGAAGTACTGAGGCACAGACAAGCCCATAAAAATGGAAAACCCAAGAATGAATTTTGTTCTGAAAGGATTGAGGTTGCAGAACTGAAGAAAACTTAAACCTGCCGCACCTGCATATTCCCGTTCCACAGATTATTTGAATATCACATGAATCAGAGGTCACTGAAGTAGAGTAAAGAGATATGGTTTAGTTAATATAGACGTACCAACATAGGCAAAGAAGAGGCAATACAAAGCAGCCACAATAGGTGCTGGGATGGAGGCAAAGACTGCTCCAAATTTTCCTACATGGTTATATTTGTTCAATTTAGGCACGGGTAAGTCATCAATGTATCTTCAATGATCAAAATCTCAAGAACAAGTTACCCAGAATGGAAAAGAAAATCATGAATCCAGCAGATATCTGCACTACTCTTCGACTACCAACACGAGTCATCGCTAATAGGCCAGCATTCTCACTGTATGGAAGCCAAGGAAATTAGTCGCCATCTAGGAAAGTCACGACAGAATCAACTAAAATTAATAATAAAGCACAGAAAATAAAGTATCTTACACAGAAACTGATGATCCATTCCCGGTTCCAAACACCCCAGACAATAAGATGGCAACACCCTAAGATGTCAACATAGACCAAAATATAGATTAGATTCTAAAAGTCGGCCCATACGAAGAAATTATTAACAAACGCCGATATTAATAGGAAATGTCAAGAAAAAGAAAGTCTTTCGACAATGGAGCTTTACGTTCCAAATTACCCTTCCACAAGCAAAACAAGTGATATTCTCAATGGCAACAGTGAGGTGCAAATGCCATCAATTTCCAGTTATATTTCGAAAGCATAAAAAGTCTTCTGAAACCTTTCCTGAACTCAATTATTCGCCTTTTTTATTCAGCAGTGATAAAATTTATCAGTGAAAATAAATCTCAAATTAAACAGGAAGAATAAGCTTAGGCAGTTCACCCTCCAGATCCTTGACCAGAAATGACTTTGGCATGATTATTTGACATCAAATGTTTACAGATTATTAACTTTGACATCTCACTTTGCGTAGTATTTTAAGGTGGACTCTTAATATTTAAAATAATTTGGCAAGATAATTAATCCCTGCAGGTTTCACCGAGTTCAAAAGAATCAACATGTCCGACTAATTTTATTAGTCAACTGTATATTCACATTACCTACAACATCTGTCCAATTTTAAAACTTAAATTAATGAGAATTTAGACCCCTAGGACTTTTAGTAGAGTTGAAAGGTAATCATTAGTATAACTTATCAATAATGGTAAAATCTCAGTTTTGTGACACTTGTAGTGTACATTATTCATATTTCAATCAAGCATAGCGATCTTTTATTTTGCTAACATATTGTTTTCTAGGAATCTACACTGTCCAAACAAGATGATTTTAATGCATAAACATGCAACCAATTCAGTTCAGGCTATAATCTTACCCTTGCATTACTCAGACCTATGATGCACAAAATCCCAAGTAGAAAATGTAACGAGGGAAGTTAAACGGGAGAGTGACAAAAATTAAATGACGTCGTGTAATCAAAAAAGTTCTAATTCCGCTGGACATTTAAGCAAATGCAGGTCAGACCGAGAGTGGTGAAAATGGGTTCGTGTAGCCGACTCCAAGTTTATGGGGACAAAGGGTAGTTCTTATTGTTGTTTTACTTTTTCTCTTCCAATGTGTTTTTGCGGGTGGGAGTGGAGTTCGGACTGTAAGGTTCCCAATTTACCTGCCAGCCTACACCACGGCTGAGAACAGATGGTGGCATATGGGTTGCACTGGCATATCTTGCAACAGCAAAAAAGGCACCTGTGGACTGCATTGTGAAGAAACAAAAGTTAGCTACATTAAATTAAAACATCAAAAGTTAGCAGCACATTTTTGGTTTGAAACAAGAAATTCAAGCTAGAGAAGACACAAACTAAATGTCCTTTTTCCTTCAACCTAAAGAAGAGAAATGAAAATGACATCTGCTTCCACCCAAATTTCACATGACTATATTAAAGGAGTATTCAACACCTCCATGAAGGATAGATAGTCATTTCCTCCACAGGGCACGTCACAAATATTAGAAGTCTGGCATTATAATAACATTAATCGTGAGAAATGGGAGCAAGGAAGACAGATTTGGAAAGTTAGGCAAATTGTATAAAGGTGAAAAATTAGAGGGAGACTGAAAGATGAAATAATCAAAGATGAAGAGAGAGAGAGAGAGAGATAATAAAGAAGACAAGTCTAACAAAGAGAAAAAACAAGGAGAAAAGAGGACAAGAAAAGATGAAGGCACTAAGAAAAAGAAACGAGCTTGGGCACATCCCCAAACAGAATCACATTTGGCAGCCTAAGGAACCTTACTTCCTAGCTAGGCAGAATTATTTATACACCTCAATATTGTAAAATAAGTACAACACCAAGAAAATGAACTGACCTCTAATCTACAATTCTGTTCTGTGATCCATTTATCAATGTTCACTGAAAATAATATAGACAATGAAATTCTAATAATATTGAGCAGTGATTTGACGAAAACAAACCTCTATGAGAGCAACAAATGCAGCCATCATCATGGCAAAGGCTTCACCAGCATCAAATGAAGGTGCTCCCCATTGGAAGGGGTATGGAACTCTTATCCTGCACAAGCAAACCGAAAATAACCATCGAAACTCTGTTGACCATATCATCATATCACAGTACCACTAAGATAGTTGTTCTCAATGAATAAGTTGCCTGCATTTTGATAGTACCAACCGTTATGGTTTGTAAATTGCAAATTAGTTTCACCAAATGAGCACACAGATATATATGATTTTCGACAAAACAATACATTCATGAAGAACGGAAGATCTATTCCTCCTATTCACTAATTTGTGTCCTAATTTGATACTTAACCCTTGTTTGGTACGACTTAAAATTTAGATAAAAAGCTAAGTCAAAGTCAATTACCAACATTAAATGCAAATTTCATGGAACCAACAAACTTTTATCAACTTTTCAATCAAATTTTTCATTACTTTCAACAAAATCTACTAAAAATCTATTTTTTTCAGCTACACCAAAGAAGGGCTTATTCTGAGGATCTCTGTATCTCTACTTCCATTTCAGATAAATTGAAGATACATCTCACTTCTAGTCTAGTAAAAGCATCCTCAATTTTATTTAAATCTGAAGAATCAAGGAACAGGAGGAAAAGTCATTAACTTTAAAAGTCTATGGAACATTAATGGCTCAAATTAATTCTTCCAAATTTCCTTTTCAAAAAGGGATGAAGGCTCAGTGCAATCAAATTCCCCGAGAAAGCCAGTGAACAATTACTGCCCTCGTATACTAACAAAACCAGATGTCTCCACATACACAAATGTTAGATCATCCTAACAACCATCATTAAAGTGACCTAAAGTGCATGATAGCCATTGAACAATCCCTTTAGAAAGAGCAAAACAAATTATGCATCCCATGTTCACCATAACAATCTCCGTTAAAAAAGATAGAATAATTAGGAGTGCATCATTAAATTCACTTGATTCAATGTGCTAAGAAGCAGGGATACATATAAACTTATTATGCACCTGCATCTAATACATATCCAAGCTAGGATACGCTTGACCACGATCTAATACGAATTGGATGCATAATTTTTAATTATTTTATAATTTTTATAATTATCTTGGATACATATTGAACACGTTAAGATACATGAAGAAGAAGAGTTTAATTGTTTTAAACTCTTTTTAAAATTCATTATTATGGACTATAATAACAAAGTATTTTTACTAAATAGATATTACCAATAACTTATTGAAAATGGATAACATTTATTAATTAACAATTTCAAACAAAGTAAACATATTTTAAGATAATAGACAACTATATAGCTTACACTTATTGTCGGAAATGTATCTATTATTAAATAATCGACAATTGAGTTTTAATTTATTCATATTGTTGAAGACTCATTTGATACTTTGGGCTGCATAAGATTGCTAATTTATCGTTAGATAAGTCACAATTGGAGAGTGTCGATGATGGTTATATTGAAGCAAATGAAGTTGGAACACTTCAGAATTAAAATAAAATGCTTTATTATTTTCTTTTGTTTTTATTGTTACTCTTTTAATTTTTTTTTTGTAATTATGAAATTATGCTGAATTTTTTTTTGTAATTACAATTTACAAATACACACACACATACATACATATACACATATCCATGTATGCTAAATTTTTTTTTTAAAAAAAGCTTTATCAGCATAACATATTGCATTCAAATTACGTAGCTGAATCCGTGCTTCTTAGACATTGAGCAAAGGACAAATATGTTATTAACTATTATTTAGAGTAAAAACTCAGCTTACCATGGAGCACCACCAACAAGTCCAGAACGATCTGTTCTGCAGCTGGCTTGGGTCCTAGGTGACTTCCCATCGTAGGCGCCACCCACAGTAAGCAGAAAGGCATAAAGCCATACTATTGCCACAGAGAATATAACAGCAAAACGATCAAAAATATTCTTTCCTGGGCGTATCAGGTGGGCCAAATACTGAAATAACCAGGAAGGTTAATTTTTTATTAACCAGAAAATAGAGGAATTATACATGACAAATATGCAATCATGTGCAAAATGAATTCTATCCTAATATTTTTAATTACAAGATCAAATAATATCCACATTGAACTCGATCAAGGAACATATTAAATGGAAGTGGGATACCAAAACTAGGAAGAAGAAGTGTAATAAAGAATGTCACCTGAGAAAAAAGAACTAAAATGACGAGCTGTGGCAATCCAATTTCAATACATTTGGCAACCTAGACAACCAATGGAAGTTCTTTTAGTAACTATCAATAGCCAATAGAATTAAAATTGAAATGCAAAAGGAAAAAAAAAAGGAGTGCAAAGAAAAGTCCCTTCAAAGATCCATACGTACCCCAGGGAAACCAAACTCATACAGCCCAAACCCAACAAGAGAAACCAAAGGAACGATTGAAAGTGGACTCAGAAACCTGCATTAATAGACATATCGACTATATATTACTTAAAATACTACACTATAGAACAGTCAAGAAATCTTGTAACAGACTCATGCCTATGAATTATATTCATGAGAAAATGAGTTCACTTGTATATATGAGAAATTAACCATATCAATATCCTATAAACAGACGGGTAGATTAAGCCCCTCTTTGACAACCATTAAAACAAAATTCTTTTTTTCTCAAAATCATTTTCAATCACACATTCTCACAATAAAATATTCTACACGTAAACCCAAAACTTTATACTACTTTTTAGTCACATTCTCCAAAAAAATCACTATTCCAAAACTCATTCTGAAGTTCCAAGAATTCTCACTGGACGTTCTGAAGTACATCTTAAAAAATCACGTAGGCCTGCAATTAGCAAATTCGTAAAAGAAGATTCCCTCCAGTACAGACCAGTTATATTACAGCGGTGAGAAAAAATTCATATATTCTCAGCACAGACGAAACTAAGTGCAAGCACATTAATTCTGGAACATAAAAGGGACCTTGCAACATTACGCCAAAGCCCACTGAAACCTAGGACTATTTGAATAGTTGAGGCAATAATAAGTGCACCCTGAGTGGCCCGCATTATCTTCTTGAATCTCTGCATCGTCATCAAAGGTAAAACAAATTAGAACAAAATTATATCACCATTGACTCGGAGCCCAGTTTATGCACTGGTTCTTTATGTAAATCTCTTCCTTTGCAAAGGCAGACCCTGAGCCTCAATAGGCTTTAGCACTGAATGATTTCTAAATCACTAAGACATTGGGCTAGAGATCAAAAACACAAACCGATTCAGGGTTCGGGTCACTCCATCGACCAGACAGGATAATTGAAATTGTGGGTGCAACAAACGTGTATGACCCTCCTATTACAGCAGGTAATCTGGTTCCAAACCATGACTGCAACAGGGTGTTCAATCCAGCAACGAATAGCAGGGTCTGAATGACTTTGGCTTTCTCCTCCTGCAAGGGGGAAAAAGTGTGCATTTCAGTAGGTCGGTAAATACCATGGAGACACAACAAAAGTGTAATATAATTGAACTTCCCGTAGACATTCTAATGACTCACATTTCCTCCCCCCATTTGAGGGACCAGGACAGTCGGTATGATGACAGATGTGCCAAGCATCACCAAATAATGTTGAAATCCAAGAAGAATAGCCTCGGCTGCAAACAAATGTCAATATTGTCAAAACTTTTACAAACACACAATGCAATAGTGACCTCGTCTTTGCATGCATATCTTGACAAATATCGAGAAATTAAAAAAATAAATAAATTGCAACTCTATTAGACCCAGCAATTTTTGATCATCAGAGAAGAAGGCATCACTTTAAAGTGACATTATAGCTTAACTGCGACTAATAATATATCTAGTCTCTGGAACAAAAACAAAGTCGCATTAAATCATTACGGGTTAAAAGTACCAATTGGGTATTTGGAGAAAGTAAACTGTTATTCATATGACAACGAGTAACTAGACCTTCATAGAGGTGAAAAACTTTTTCTCGAGAGAAAAAAGCACCTATTATAAGTCACAATCAAAACCAAAGAATATGCCAGATTCCAGACTGAAAGCATACCATACCCCACAAATCCATTGAAAATTCCAAGTATACACTTTTCTCCTGACCTCATAATGCATTTAGCATGAGCATCAGTTTATGGAAAAGTATAATGAAGTTCAGTCTCAAATAGCGAAACAGATTGAACATTTGAAGATTGGAAAATTTTGCAAGAATTAGAACCCATAGGTTACTGATTGACCTGGAGCATAGATAACAATCTGCAAGCCCATTCTATCAACCCCTCAAAAATGTTAATAATAAATGGCAGAAAGGATAATAGCACATATACACAGCTTATAATGAAAAGCAAAAATTACTTTTTAAATGAAAATAAGAATTATACTTGACCCACAGAATCCACAACCACTTTATAATAATAAGTGAAAGAATTACAGAAAAAATATACTAGATTGCAAAGGAATATTAAGAAAATGTTTAAGGAACTAACGCCATGGAGGAGGACTGGTAATGCAGTAGGAAACATTGGGAAGCTGATCCTTTGGTGGGTGTGGCGTTGGTTCAGTTGCCTTTGGTGCTGCTCCACCTGACATTTCTTTTTTCTTTTTTCTTTATCTAGAAATAATGAAAAAAAAATGTTCCAAGAATTTTCACTGGACGTTCTGAAGTACAAGCGAAAGCATCAAATCTGCAGTAACTAGATCAGAAACGTTTAGAAAACAATGATAAAGCCTATAGATATTAAAGAAAACTACAAGTTTCTAGAAACCCATAAAGCTAAGGTGCAAAGAAAATCTCAAAAATAACTTATACTTTAAAACCCACATAACAACAAAAGAACACCGCACATGTATGCAGGTATAACACGGCACCATACCAACCCCTGTTATGCTAACTGTAAAAGGTAGAGAACACAAAACAAGGTGCTGTATTGAGATGGGGAGGGGGTTTAAGCCAAGAAAATGAATGTAACATCAAGAGAGTGTAAATTGCAAAATAATAATAATAATATTAAAAAAAATATTGCAGAAAAGCAAAGGAAAAATATACCTGGCCGTGACATGAAAAAGTTTTTCAAGATGCAGAATCAAAAATCAGAGTGAAGTGAACTAAATCCAAAGTAGTCAAAAGACCCCACCTCAAGAAAAATGTTCAAGTGAAAAAGTGGTGGAGCGAAAAAGGAAAAATGAACAACTTTACATAGACAAGATAAGAAAAAGAAGTCTGAAGAACAATTTGGAAAATTTGAGCAAAATGTGAAGAAATGGCCTTACTCAGTTCTACCAAAATTTCAGGTTTCTCTGAGTAAAGAAAATTCTGCGAAAGAGTCTTACACCAAGAATTATTTGCAGTTTTGTTTAACGTTTTCTTCGCAGTCTGTTTCCTCTGCAATGTGAATTCTTGATAAGCTTTTTGGAGTAAATGAGGCATTTCTTTATTTATTGCTGACATTAGATCATAGCTGTAAACTTGAAGTGCAAAATAAACTTGGTTACTTAAAAGACGAGGCGTGTTTGACAAAGCTAAAATTACTCATGCTAACTTTTAAGTACATTTTTTTATTTTTCAATTATTGAGCCCATGTTTGATATCCTTTATTTCAAAACTATTTTTTCTACGTATCATTTTGAACCACACATTCACACAATAAAATATTCTACCTGTAAATCCAAAAAATTTCTCTAATTTTTAACTACACATTCTCTAAAAAATTATTATTCAAAAAAAAAAAAAAAATTGGCAAATAAAGGATATCAAACAGGGAATTACTTACTTTTTAATAGGTACTTATTTTGATAGAAAAGTATGAATTAAGTAATTTATCTTTGTTTCTAACTTTCAGTAATGAGAAAATTAAGCAAAAGGTTGTTGACATCATTCCCTTTTAGTGAAAAAGCAATTATGTTGAGTCCACTTTCTATTAAAATGATGGCAAACAACCTTTAACACCCATGTTTGGTGGTCATGTTTTTGGGAAAATGTTTTTTAAAATAGTGATTATTTGAAAAATGTATGATTAAAAAGTAGGAAAAAAATTTGAATTTAAGTGTAAAATATTTTATTGTGTGAATATATGATTGAAAATGAGTATGTAGAAAAAAATTGAAATAATGGGAGATATACAGAGGCCAACTTACCGATAAAGATAATTCTTTAAGTTTAAGCATTGGTTTGGTTTTCATTATTTTTAAAATACATTTTTCTCTCTTCTTTTCAACTACAAGTTTTTCAATAAAATAATACTACACACAAACTCGAAATTTTTTCTTATTTTTCTACCACTCATTATCCATCAATTTATTATTCCAAAATTTAATCTCAAGAAAAAAAAAATGGAGCTCAAATAGGTTCTAAACGTTGTTTTAAAATAACCTTTTTGCTAAAATTTCAATCTTTAGCCCCCGTTTGTTTCTCATTTTCATCTATAAAAATGAAAAATACGACCGTTATCCATCACATCAAACCATCAATTTTGAATTTATATCTATTTTGTGGGGTCTAATAACGATTATATTTTTCATTCTCGTTCGACAATAATGAGAATCAAACGAGCCCTTAAAAAGTTAATATAAAAAAAGTGATTATTTCCATTTATAAATTTGTAGATGAAGGCCTAATAGTCTGATTTGGTTGAAAATTAAAATTTTTTTTTTTAGTGAATTTTAAGAAAAAGTCAATAAAATATGTTCTTGAAAAAAAAAAAATTGGAAAAATGCTGCCAAACCCAAAAAAAGGGCTACATTGATTGATAAGTCTCAATTTGGCGGGTCCCGGACACCAACAAGAAATGTATTATTGATAATTGAACCGGTGAAGATTGCACTGATGATGAAAGCAGTGGGGCCCTCTCTAGGGCTACGTGGCCCTCTCTAGGGCTACCTGTCAAGTTGTGATTTTCAGCTTCAAATAGGCAACCCAACAATAATTAAAGGTAGCAAGTAATGTATTGCTTTCGTTTCGTGCTTATCCCAACTCCAATATTAAATGCATTGTTAGTGCAATACAAAAATTAATAGACAAATATGTTAATTGTAAAATTTTATTAGGACTTAGTATGGTATCAGTTTGATATTTTAATTTGTTTCAATATAGTCATTCAGTTTATGCTTTTTTTTCAGTTTAATTATTATGTACGTTTCTATAATTAAAATTAAATTGTCCTTTTCACAAGTCAAGCGAAATTAATGTCGCTCTTCTTCAACGACTTTTCTATTTTCCTTAACCAAGGGACAAGCACGTGGAATGAACTGTTAACTTTGATCACTAAGATAAGATGATAGAATGTCCAAAATGTAACAAAGACCTTTTAATTTTGATCACTACCACGAGTTAGTTATGTAAAAGTTGAATATGTTAGACAAATATTGAGTTTTCTATGCAGAATTCAAATATTCTGAGCAAATATCAAGTTTGTTGTGTAAATCTTGAGCTTGTTCGACTGTCTAACTTCTAACACGCATTTTTTTTATCCACCACCTTGAATTGCATTGTATTCTTGGGTTAAACTCTAAATTCAATTAATTTTTCAGATGGCGTATTTTTTGTCTGTCGAGATATATGCAACAAAAGTTGTGCACTAACTTCCTCCCATGCTGTGTACATAGGTTTCTCATTTTTCAATGTGGAGAACAGGAGAGTTAACGAGCCGAGCTGATTCAAGCCACGATTCGAAACTTTTTGCTCGGGCTCGGCTCGAGTAAAAATTATTCGAGCTTTTTTTTTTTTTTT